GATCAATGCAAAGTGGACAGGATCATAATTGATGTGGGGGATGGGGGTGGGGCTCTGGGGGTCCTCCCCCTGAAAATTTTGAATAAAGAAGATGTGATTTCCTGCATTTTGGTGTATTTTAACAGGTTAAACAACTACATTTGTAAACACTCCGTTTCTGTCAAGCTCCCCCCTTACTTGATGGAACTATCAAGTCAGTTGGGCTCGGGATCGAGCCTGACTCTGTCCCTGCTCATTTTGTCCGACACCACATGTGAAACCTCCAGGCACCTGCCTGCGGCTGTGAGCTCCTGCCCGCGTACGACTGCCTGCTCAGCACTTTACTGTTTTAGGGGCAGAGATTCCTTTAAGGGTAGACACAGAAATGCTTCACTTGAAGAGGCAGATCGTATTCATTCAACCTTTATTTATGTTGCTGTGTTTAAAATTAATGCTCATGTGATTATTTTAATTTTACATATCCAGTATAAATTTTATTCATTCAAGGCAGTCATATTTGTTCATAACTTTATTATTAGTGAAAAATTATAATCAAAAATAATTATAATAAATTATAATTGAAAATTATTATGATTGAAATAATTGTTTGAAAAAGGGGCAGATATAATAAGATTTTTTCTTCTTTCTGCTGCCTTTCATTTTAAATCTTTTGTATCTTTTTTATATTGTTATGGAATTGTTTTGTACTTTTTAAAAATGAATAAACTTTATACCATACCATACCATACCATTAGTAAGGCTGAGGGTTACCATATCCAAGCCAGATCCTAGCAAACAGTTACTGGAAGCATCCTGTCTAAATAAGAGCGTTCCCGGAGTTTGTTCTGGCAGGATCCGGCTCAGATTAGGCCCTGGTTTAATCATTTTTCTGAAGATCTTTCACGAAATCCCTCTGACCGCAAAGTGTCCGCAAAGCAAAACCATGACAATGTTGTTGGAGAAAAAGGGGATGGAGCTCCTGCAGGTAAGGGGCGTTTACCTTAGAGACAAATTGAAGTCACCGATTGGTCAGTTGCTGACGAGCCTACTGGATTGATTGACAGGTGGCATAGAAGAGCCGACTTGTGCAAAAAAATCCCCACCATAGATCTTATTGGCCTGTTTGTGTCATCATTTATTCCATATTTATTCCAAATTTATTCAATATTTTGGTGAATCTACGGTTTGAGAACTGAGTTTCCTTACTAAAGCATAATGATGGTTTCTTAAATTTTCAGGGGTGTTGAATTAACATTTAGGAGTGCTTGAGCACCCCCCAAAAGAGGCTAAAATAACCACTGCTTTCAGCTGCTCCCTTTAGGAGTTTCCACACCTGATTCATATTTCCTTATCCAGCATGCTCCTCTTTTACACCAAACCTTGTAGATCCTCTACATCCATAAACCTTCTCTGTGGGCTTCCTTTCGTCTTCCTCCCTAGCAGTTTCATGCCCAATATGTCCTCTGTTCCTTCTCTGTTCATGTCCAAAGAATCATCTACTTGTCTCTCTAATTCTGTCTCCAACCTGAGCTGTCTCTCTGATGGACTCATTTCTAATCCTGTTTTTTTGTGATCACTCCCAATGAAAATCCAGCCTCATTTCCAAGTCAAACACAAAGCACAGATTTGTTTCCAAGACAAATTAAAAACACAGGTTCACACTGGGACTACTGACTGATCATGAGTGTATACTCACCATTTTTGGAGCTGGCCCACAACAGTTGACCACCTTGCAACAGTATGCAGCCAGAGTGATGGAGATAGCCAGCAGAGCAACCTGGATAAGCACACCACTGGCATAAAAGTTGGAGTGGGTGTTCTGTAAGATGGACAAAAAGCTAACTTACTTTCAAATAATCCTCCAGCTCATACTTCCACCATTGATCACCTGCTACTGAGAGTGAAATGGTAATAATGTTTTAGGCTGTATTTGTGTTTGTGGTCCCCCATCACAGAGCAATGAGGAGGAGTTAGAAATACTCTTAATTTCATCCGGCGGTCTGTGCATGTTGTGAATATGATACTTAAAACATAAGTGGGGTACCAACTTCCATTAAGGTGTGTGGTTACATCTCGGTGTAAGAAAGATTCCTCTTGAAAATTGGGTTGCCAAGTCAATATTCAAGACTGTCACCATCATATTTGTAAATGGACTGTATTTATATAGCACCTTTCTATATAATCAAGATACTCAAAGCTCTTTACAGCACAATTTGTGTCCTCATTTACCTCCAACACACATATTCACATGGGGCCTCACACGGGGCACCATAATATGTAGCAATTATGAAGTGAGATGGAGGAAGAAGGGTGACACTTTTCCCAATGCACTCCATTACATTTGTTTATTTATTTGTCACTTGTTAAAGTGGACATCAGCTGGTCAGTTTATTGACCAACAACAACTTAATTAATATAATTAACTCTTTAATAATCAGAACTCAGCGACTGAAGTAGAATTAGTTAATTACTGGTAGTCCCATACCATAACAAATGAATATTCATCTGAATGAAAAGACCAAAATTGTCTTTGAAATGTTATTACAAAAATAATCAAACTAAGAATCAACAACAATGATAAACAATCAAACAACAATTAATTAATCAAGTCTCAATTCTCTTTTATATAAGGAAAAATCAACTCTTTGAGCAGGGATTATTTTGGTTTTTATAAGTGCACAAATTTAGACAGAGTTTGGCTATTTTAATAAATAGTTTGCTTTGGTATTTGGTTAAAATAAGTTATTTAATGTGATCAGTTAAGTCCTTTATTATCCCTGCAAGACAGGAAATGATTTACCAAATTGCATCAGCTAAAATAGCATAACTAGACCAAGGCTACATGGTTCTCTACTACAGCTCTACAAAGATAATCTAAATCTGTAGAGACTAATCAGAGCTTTA